GAGGTTATTCAGAAAAAGGTCAGTGAGGCAGATGAGGCTGTCCGGGAACAGTTGCAGCAAACACTAGAGGAGTTCAAGGACGTGTTCCCAGACAAGCTGCCTTACGGTCCACCACCAAAGAGGATTGTCGATCATGAGATTGACACGCTGCCAGGAGAGGCACCGCTGCACAAAAGCCCATATAGGCTGAGTACGGCTGAGTTGGATGAACTGCGGCGGCAGATCGACACATTGTTGGAACAGGGGTGGATCAGACCGAGTTCTAGCCCATATGGTGCACCCATCCTTTTCATACCCAAAAAGGATGGCAAGTGAAGGATGTGCATCGACTACAGGGCTTTAAACAAAATAACCGTCAAGAATTGGTACCCACTGCCAAAAGTGGAGGAATTGTTGGATCGACTGCACGGGGCTAAATACTTCACGAAGATTGATCTCTCCTCAGGTTACCATCAGATCCGAGTGAGAGAATCAGATGTACACAAGACAGCTTTCATGAGTCGATATGGCAGTTTTGAATACCTTGTCATGCCATTCGGGTTGTGCAACGCACCAGCTACCTTCCAGAGGATAATGAACACAATTTTGAGGGAAGGCTTGGACCAGTTTGTGCTAGTGTTCCTGGATGACATATTGATCTACAGCCGGATAAAGGAGGAACACATACAGCACATCAGGGAAGTTCTGACCCGGCTACGGTCGGAGAAGTTGTTTGGGAGATTAAAGAAGTGTGACTTCTTCAGAACCGAGGTGGAGTACTTGGGCTTTGACGTGGGGCCTGAGGGGATCAAGCCTTCGCTATCAAAGGTCCAAGCGATTTTGAATTGGCCGACACCGGAAAATGGCACCGACGTCCGTTCATTTTTGGGGCTGTGCAGTTTTTATCGCAAGTTCATACGGTGGTTCAGCGAGCTGGCAGCGCCCATGACGGACTTGACGAAGAAGGACAGGACCTTTGTTTGGAGTGACGAAGCTGAAAAATCATTCAATCGTTTGAAGACAGCCATGGTGACTGCACCAGTTCTGCAGTTACCGGACTTCAACCGGGAGTTTGTGGTTACCACAGATGCATCAGGCGTTTTAGTGGGTGGTATACTACAACAGAACTTCGGCAACGGGCTGCAACCCATTTGCTATGAGAGTAGGAAGCTCAATCCGGCCGAAACCCGGTACAGTGCATACAAGCGTGAACTACTGGGCATCACTTGGGCTGTTGGGAAATGGCGGCACTACTTGGCCAGCCGTCACTTCGTCATCCAGACAGATCATGATTCCTTAAAAAACCTGCCCAACCAGCCTGCAGTGAACAGGAGGGTGTGGAAATGGGTGCAGGTTCTGCAGGGTTACGACTGCGACATTGTCCACATACCAGGAAAGGACAACCCTGCAGATTTTCTGACGCGCAGGAGTATTCAGGAGTTGAGATGCATGGTAGATGTGCGCGCAGAAGAGGAGTCATTGGTCCAGCGTCTTCGTCTTCATGAGGGTGACAGCGGGGAAAACGATATTCAGAAGAAACTGGACGAAATATTTAAAAAATCCAGTCCTGAGGGTGCAGTGGTGGCTGCAAGTGGGGAACAAAATTCTTTACATTCTTTATTGGTGACCAACACCAGGATTACTCTGGAGGAAGACTTGAGGAACTCTATAAAAGAGGGCTACAAGCAAGACAGCAGATGGGCAGAAATTTTGAATCAGTTGGAATCTGCCCAAGGACGAGTCACCAAGATCGGGAATCGTGACTACCGATTGAACCATGGATTCATTGAGATCAAGTGGAAGGACAACACCGAGGACAGGCAACCTTGGAGATTGGTGGTACCAGATGTGGAGGACGCCCATAAGAAGATTATGGCAGAGATACATACAGTACCATATGCGGGACATCTTGGTTACCACAAGACACTCAAGAAGTTACAGCAGAATTTCTACTGGCCAGATCACACAGTGGATGTACGAGACTTTGTGCTGGGATGTGAGGTCTGCCAGTCAGAGAAGAGTGTCCACAATTTGCCAGCAGGACTCCTTCAGCCATTGCAACTTCCAGAAGAAAAATGGAGCGATGTCAGCCTCAACTTCATCATGGGTCTACCGGTCAGTGAAAGGAAAAACGATGGGATCCTCACGGTTGTAGACCGAGCTACAAAGATGGTACACTTGGTACCCGTCCAGCAGACCATCACTGCTGCTGAGACTGCTCGAGTCTATTGGGAACAGATTGGACGACTACACGGGATCCCCAGATCGATCGTCAGTGACCGTGATCCACGATTTGTGTCGAAGTTTTGGCAAGAATTCTGGAAGATTTTGGGCAGCAAGCTGAGGATGTCCAGCGCTCACCACCCCCAGACAGATGGACAGACAGAGGCAGCCAACAGGGTGGTGGAGCAAGTCCTCAGGTGTACAATCCATGGCAGTCAGGAAGTCACTCATTGGGAGAAATACTTGCCCATGGTGGAGTTCGTGATCAACAGCAGCGCATCGCCATCCACGGGGTACACGCCTTTCTTTCTGAACTACGGCTTTGAGCCAGTGACCCCGTTGGACCTGATCAAGGACGTGGACCAGACCAATATTGAGGTTGTCAACGTCTTTGTTAATAGGATGAAGAAGACATTCAGAATGGCGATGCAGTCAGTTCATCAGGCCTAGCAGAGGCAGAAGCGTCAGGCTGATCAGCGGCGCAGAGAACAAAGGTTTCACAATGGGGAACAGGTGCTACTCAGTACAGAGCATCTACAGTTGAAGAATGCACCTGTACGCAAACTGAAGCGACGGTTCGTAGGACCATTTGCTGTGGTCCGTCAGGTGGGATCAGTGGCCTACGAATTGAAGCTACCAAAAGGGTGGAGGATACATAACGTCTTTCACACCAGTTTGCTACGACCATTCAGATCGTCCAGATGGTCTACCCCACAGGAGGTAGATGACGCCGAGATCGAGCCAGAAGCCAATGAACCGTACGAAGTTGAGAAGCTGCTGAGATGGAGATGGGCAGGACCCAGTGGCAGGAGGCACAAGGAGTTTTTGGTGTTATGGACAGGGTGGAGTATTGATGATGCCTCCTGGATACCGGCAGGAAATTTCACCTACGCCAGAGAGCTCCAGAAGATGATCAAGAGGGATAAGCCCGAGGAAGACACTAGTATGGGATAGTGTGCTTTCGGGGGCGAAAGCTACCCCAAGGGGGGAGTATTGTGACGTGGCTGCTTGGGGTTTCGGCTTATTTGACAATTCTGGAGTGAGAATTACGTAATTGGTTAAATCAACCTTTTGGGGACGTTATTAAGAGCTTCTTGGTTCCAACGAGCTTTTAAACGCCCGATTCCATTAAGAAACGGCGAAGATATGGCCTCCTGAAGTCGTAGTACTTAGGGCCAGGGGGTCGGGTGTTAGACGCTTGGAATTAGAGGACAATGGGTCGATTGTAGATGAACGTGGACGGTGACGATGTGCCTGGACGCGCACTTGTCTTGTCTTGTCATGATGTGACCGCGATGGACCCGCGATCGGGCATCGCGCATGCGATATGTGCGCGCGCATGCTGTGAATCCATGTAACTGTTCTGGCCCACTCTCTGGCCTCCCGCGAGCCAGCGAACCACCGCCTCGCTGCGCCGCCACCACTCGCCGACAGCAGGCCCCGGGGATCGATCCCCGTCAAGCATTGGGCCCACCGCGCGACCAAGGAAACGACTGCCCCGGATACGCCCACCATCCGAGGTGGAGAGCGCCGGCTGACCTCCAACAGCCGAGCCGCAGGGCAGGGCGACCCCCACGACTCCGGAAACCAGCGGTTGCCGACGGGGCCGCAACAGTCCGCAAGCCGGCCTAAGGAGCCCCGAGGCTCTCTGGTGTACCTCACACTCACGCCGAGTGCTGAGTACGACGAGCGCGGATTCCGGAGTGACTGAGGGCTGCGCAATACGTGTGACAAGCGCAGTCGCTGGAGCTGGAGTGCCGTAGCACCCTACGGTGGTGCTGATCGGCCGGTACGCGCAACGGTGGACGCTGTGAGGGAGTTGCGATGTACGGATTCGGTGGCGACCTCTATGGTGAGGTGCGAAATGGGTTTGAGCTTCCCCGGAACGCCGATGGAGGGTGCTGCTGTCATGGCGGCGTTGGCCAGCGCTGTCGGACGAGGAATAAGATTCCTGGGCATTGGCATCCATTGGATTGGGGAGCTCCTGGTGACCCTACCTGGGTGGATAGCATGGACGCTCAATATCGATGAGGCGAAGATGAGTCCGATTCTGGGAGCGGTCAGAATGGTGTATAATGGCCTGGCCCTCCTCATTTTGTTCAACATGACTGCCGCCATTTTCTGGGCAATGGGGCAATTTCAACAAAGTAAGGCAACAATTTGAGCTTATTGTGTCATCACTGGTTGTGTTGCAGATTCTTCCTTGCATCGATATAGAATGGGGGCTACCCCCCTCTCAGACCCAATGTTGGGTCTGAGGTTTGAGTGAAAATGATGTTGAGCATGTGCCAAATCGATGTAAAGTCTTCCCTTTGGAGCACTTGGGCTAACAAATTGGTCCACCTGTCACCCTTCAACCGTCAATTATGCAAACAATATTGCAAGTCAGCAATTAACGAGTAGTGCTGCCAGATCAGCAGCAACCTTGTGCATGCCTATTTGTTATGTGTTCAAATTTAGGAACATTGTTAATTAACTATGGATATTCATTGTTCCCCTACCCTCCCTACGTGACATACCATTGGCGTTCGGCTGTTACTGTGTGCGTCTTGAGGGAACGGCTGGACACTGAACGGTGTTGTTGATCCTCGGGGCCTGAAAATGCGCCACGGCGAGCTCTTTCCCTGCAGTTTCCACCTTTGTCGCATGTACGCGCGAAATCGGGCAATGCACGGGCGCCCCCGTCCGCCCCAGGGTTACCCCTTTGTACTCCGCGGGCCCCATTGTCGGGCCATTGTGCCCGCGGCACATTGCCGGCAGTTGCTGCCAGCAAGGAGGCGAAGCCGAGCGGCCCAGCGATGCAGCCCTGGGGCTGGGATGGCGAGCACGACGGCCACGAGTGTGTTTCGGGCCCTTGGAGCCCAGCCGAGGGGCTCCAGAGGGGTCTGGGAGGCACGTCCGGCGACACAGCCGCAATGGGGACTAAGTATCGAAAGATGTCTTCCAAATACGACTTTGTCAAGGTGGGTGGTAGGAATCGACTATTTTGCGGCAGCGTCTGGGGCATGTTTGCTCGATGGGGGCCATCGGGGACGCCCTTCTGCCGCTATACCGCCTGTGCGCTCGAGCATTCGCGTCAATCTAGAGCAAGGGGCTCCAATGCCGACGTGTTGCCGGCAGCGACCAGCACAGGGACCGGATCGGGTTGCGCTAGAAGGCTCGGACGGAAGCGCCTGGCCGTCACAGGCGCCACCTTGATGGGGGCAGTCGTAAATAGGACACAGAAGAGCACTTTTGCCGCGTTTGCGAGTGTGCCTGTGGATCTTCGGGTGCCGATGGTAAAGTGGTTCTATTCGCCCTTTTGTTTGGACATCACACACAGCCCCGGGTATGGAGTGCGGCGCGTGGGCCGCGTGTCTGTGGCGCGCTATTCTGCACGTGCTGCCTGTCGCGACGCCTCGTCCACCCTTGGCAAATGACTCATATGATCGTGCGTGAGCAAGGCCTGCGGCGGTGGATTTGAGCCCTGCGGCGCGATGTTACGTCGCCGATCCTCCCCTTGTTGAGCAGGTGCGCGTCTTGCTTTGCGGCAAGGACCACTACTATGTGCTTTCGCGATACCTCATCAGCCGCACCCTGACGGTCACGAAGATTCCTTACGTCAAGGTAAGTGCCCAACAGCGGGCCGCGCGGGACTGAAAACGGCCTCGATTCGTGGCTGTGTAGAGGAACCCGCTCGCTCGGAACTGCCATTATCAGCATGGTGCGGTGCTGTCTTCTTGAACTCGTGCGCTGTTGTCCTAATTTCTGTCCTTGTGGGATTATCTTGGGCGGTTGTGTCGTTGGCCCGAGCTTTCCCTTGTTAAGACTGCCCTGTCATTATGACATGGAACTGCGCTGTGGTTCCGGCGGTTTGCTGGAAAAAGGGGGTGAGAAGTGTGTGGCGGGTTGCTGAACGGCATGTCGCTGGTTTCTGGAGGCTGTGCAATGTGGTCGCTGTTGCGGCTGCTGAAGCAACCGTGCCTGTGCGTCGGTATAGGCGGTCAAAATAGCGCTGGAACTGAAGAAACACCTCGTTGACATGAACATGCTGGCTGTCACCCAGGTGGGGTAGGTAGTTGTGCAAAAGGCAGGCACTTTGATGGGGTAGTCTAGCCGTTCGTCTTGCTTTGCCTCCATTTCTAGGCAACCATTGCTCTGTGCTGGGTCTTGCCATCAAGGAAAGGCATGTACCGACGCAGTCGTTTCTGTTTTCCTGCCATTCCGTGGTTGCTGTGTCAGTTGATATACGAGCATTTTGAACAAAAACAGCCGCAGTGAATTGTTTGCACCTGAGCCTAACATTTCAAAGCCTACCAGGTTTGTGGCGTTTTGCTCCCATGATTGCCCTCAGACAAGTATTTCTAAATGCAAAGTTCAGCTTGCAGGAGGGCGGGCAGCACAGCATGTTTGGATACAAGCCTCGAGCAAGCTCACTTGTGTTCAAGCTGGATTGCATTGGTGCTATGCCAGGTTCAGATGGAGCAGACTCTGTTCAGAATAATGGAGGGTAAAGGCTTCGGTGCTCCATACATTGAGCGGTACCAGATGGTGAACCAATTCTTTCAGGAACGTTGTCCACTCCTGATACTGATATGTGGGGCTCCGTGCACCGGTGAGTTCTGGACTCGAGCAATAGGCGCCCTGCAAACCACTGCAAAGATCAATCTGCTCCTTCCTCTAGGGAGCCTCCGACAGGGCCTTTCTTTCGGATGCTATGGGTTGTTGTCCACACGCCACCCTCCAATGCTTCCATGGGCTTTTGCTTTGTCTTTTGACAAGTGTGATTACAAAGGATTCACGCATCTAAGCCTTCATTTCTGCCCCTGGTTGTCTTGGATACCACTGGCATTGGTTTCTCCATTTCCTGACAATGTGTTGCACGGACTATTGAAATTTTGCTGGCCTGATGCATTTGGCTGATTCCAAAGAACGTAAGATATTTGAAAGCTGTCCTTGCAGAAGGGTGGATTGCTGCCCATGGCTGCCATCCATCGATTTGCTTTTGCCCATGCCAGCCGTGACAGTACATTTGTGCAGTGGCATTGTTGTCGCAACTGACATTTTGGCATTGTTAATTACATGGACCAGGCAAATCAACACTGGCCCAACAGCTGGCTGCCCGCTTGAATCTGCCCAATGTCGTGCAGACTGATCTTGTGTATCAGGTGTGTGGTGTTAAGATATTTCCCACACCTCTGTGAGGCGTGACTCTCACCATGCTGATGCCTGCTCATCCAGTTGCTGCACACACGTCGATCAATCGATTGATATTTTACCTTGCATTGCAGCTGTTGCGCTCGAATGGGGACTCTCCAGTTCACAGTCTGCCTGTCTGGAAACGCTCAGACTTGACACAGGCAGAGGTTATCACTGAATTCAGAAGAGAGTGCTGGGTCGTCAGGAAAGGAGTTGATGGTGAAGTTAAAAAGGTAGCTGACATTCACTGGTCAATGGCAGTTGACTGCACTCACGAGCACAGATAACACAGCCCATCAGTGCACTGCTAGTTGTCTCCAGGACCTTTGCCTCTTTCTGTTGGGACTCATTCCGTTGGTTAGTTGTTTCATGGTGAAAGAACAGCACCCAAAATTTGCTTGCAGGTATCTGCCAGAATGGAAGTTGTCTTCATGGCCGAACTTTCCAAGCTTCAGCTGTCCAGGTTGACTGCCTTGCCCTTGAACATACTTTTGGCATTTGTTTTTGAGATTTTTCGCCCCTGCACAAGATTGAGGGCTGTTGCAAGTCAGCCCAATGGGGCAGACTTTGTGCAGGGTACGTTGTTGCCTGTTGGTTGTTGAGCTGAACGCCCATACTCGTCCAGCACTTTCCCAATGCAGCCAATTGCTGATTTCCCTTTTACTTTGTTACTGTGCGTTGTGTGTTGGCACCTTGTCTCGCTTCACTGCACCACTGCCAGCATATCAAACGGCTCAGGCTCTAGGTCAGGCTCTGCTTTGTTCCTCGACAACCAAAGTGCCGAATGGAGAGAGTATCTGGCTCTTCATTCCATGGCGCCCGCCTTTCCCCAATATTGTCGCCAATGAAGTAACCCTGGCAAGGTCGTGTTTGTCACCTACCCCTTCCAAGCAGCGTGTAGCACCCCAGCGCACATGCACAGGGCCGTTCTCAATAGTCATCCTGAAGTCTTGCACAGCTTTGTGCGCTCTTCCTGGGGCTAGGTACCCACACGATAATGTGTTGCTGGAAGGGGCACCTATCTGCGGCTCTATTCTATTCTCTAATGCCCGTTCCCTCCTTGAAACTTCGCTTCTTCCGCTGCACTGTGAAGGGAAAGCAACTGCTGAATTTTTACTGGTGATGGCAACCTCACTGAGGCCTTCCAGAGAGGTCCTGTCGTGCAGCGGTACTTGCAGTCAACAACAATGTTTTCTGTGTGCAGGCGTTGAAGGAGGGGAAATCAATCATTCTTGAGGGAGTGCACCTCCAACCAGATCTGTACATTCAAGAATTCACAAAGCACACATGCCACAGCACGAAGTGCCCCAGCGCATGTGAAACGAAGGATGAGTGTCATGAACATCCAGGGACCAAAGAACCATTCGATTTTCAAACAGCGGAACAGTGCAGGTCGAAGTGCCCTTGTTGCGCCCAGGGCGCTGATAATTCATGTGCTGGCGTTCGGAACTGCAGTGGCTCTCCTGCTTCAAGCGCAAAGGGGCACAGGGGTTTGTGTCACGAATGTTGCGATGGGGACTTGCCTTGCTGTGCAGCGCGCATAGAGTTGGAAAACGGGTGGGAAGAGCAGAGGAGTTATGCTGAGGAAGAGGTGCCTGAGCCCATGGTAACATGTGCTGAGGAAGAGCTGGAATGTAGTCGTGCCTCAGGTGCCCAAGAATGGGGGCGGGGCATATGTGGCCATGCAACACCTTTGGGCCGCTCGCCTTGGTCTCTGCCAGCGGCTGGCGGCAACCCGACTTCCTTACGCTTCTGCCAGCATAATGCGTCCCCAGCGCGGCCAGTTTTCATGCCCATCATTATTCAAATGGATGAAGATGACCACGAGCTGTTGGCAACGCAATGGGCGACCCGGAGTGGCTCAGGAGACCCGTTGCAAGGCGGAGCCGATTTTCGACAGACATTCTCACGACTCAGACTGTTGCAGAAACACTTGTGCGAATGGCATCCATCCGGCGTGGCTGTGGTTCGAGTGGGGGTTGCCAGAATGGCGGAAGCTCTGGACAAGCTTCACGATCACTTTCTGGACTGTATACAGAAGTCGATGGACTGAATGTGGAGGTGATACTGCAGACTGCGATCAAGAACATACATGCAACGAATGTTTCAGTGAGAGCGATTTGTACAACGCAGGGGCTTTTTTTTGTTGCAAGTCGGTATGCATGAGCTGGCAGTGCTGGTGTCGATTTTGATAGGGAAAGGTTGGGCTGAGGTGTAAAGTAGGTGCGCTGAGGGTGGATGACTCGGCTTCGGGCGTTGGAGACGGCCTGCGGTTTGCCTTTTTTCTCGAGTCATTGGGGTTCCACCCATCGATCGTGTTCACTTGAAAGGGTAGCTTGAACCAGCGAGGGAATTTGGATTTGGAGCTTGTTCCATTCGAATGGAGAGAAATAAAGGAAGGAAATTCTTGTTTTTGATGTCCTTGGGGGGTGCAGGAAAACATGCTATGCAATGTGAACCATTGCATGTGCGGCCGTAGCGCGGTTCTGTTCCCCAATCGATGGCAATCCAATGTGTTTCACGGACAAACTTCGACTCGTTGTGACGCCGTAGGCCACAATGGCAAACCATGGACAAAACGGCAAAAGCCTGTTCACTCTCTCGATACCTTCTCAGAACCTGTCCTCACACTCTCAAAATCTTCCATGAATTGCGACTGCCCGGTAGCTGTTGGGGGCGTCATGCTACACGACGGGCCAATCCACTCAGCACGTGGTTCAGCGGTGCACAAATTTTGTGCCATAAACTAATGACCGTACACGAGTCCTTGGGAACTAGCAGCAAACGCCATGGGGTTGGGCGCGCACAGGCTTGCCGTGCGACTGCTATCCCACGAGGCATTTCCCCAGGGCGCCAGCAGGTAGAGAACGGCCCCAACCACTTTGCTGTGCCCTGCAGGTCTGGAACTACTCGTACACCTGAGGCTCCCACCTCGTCATACTGTTCGTGCCAGAACACTCTCAAGCACCTCCTTCATTTGGTCCCTCGACAACTCTGTTGTGATGTAAACCTCCTGCAGCTGCCTGCCAGCACGGGCAACGACGTTGAAACCAGCAGGAACATCTTCCTTGGCCAGCCATATCTCCAGATCCTGCGCATCCATCGTGGGTCTTGGATTCAGGGTGCAGATCATGGAGACTATAATTGGGCATTCCGTGTTTGGACATATGACTGCCATCAGCTTGAAGCTGATCAGGCAGAGCATTGCCATTTCCCGACAAATGGAACTGCAAGAGCGACATAGGCACAACCAAGAGACTGCCAACATGCGATCGCAGCCAGAGAGCACTGCAGTTCGGAGATAAAGCGCGCTCAGGAGGGCAAGCAACATGGCACACGTGGAAGACACCACATCACACAATAGTGCGGGTGGCAACCACCCACGCAAAGACACGTTGTGGATCTGCAATTGTGGGACGAGGATACGGCACTTTGTACTGCTTATGCACCATGAAATCTGATCAACAACAGGACCACATAAGTACAGCTCTCTTTCAGTCCGGCCTGTTATTTGCTGGCCGCATTTCTGCCTTCGAATCTTGTCGATGGGCGGAACGATGTCATTCCACGGCTAATTCACGCAATTGCAGCAAGAGCTCTTCTCCAATTACACATCTTCAGAGAACACATTTGTTGCTTCTCATCCTATCATGGATCGCCGGATATTTGCGTATATCAGGTCCTGGAGCGCTGCAAGGTCGAAGAGGGTTGTACTTGTACTTTACAGGATAGAGCGTTTCGTTGCTCTTGTCCGGTTTGTATCAGACATTCATTCATGTTACTGCACTTCGGGAACATGGACACATCCGCACACAGTAAACACACCAGGCTTTAGGGTGTGGGTTTGCTGAAAGAACGTCACTGAAAGTTCAACCAGCGTCAACGCAGGCAAGACGTGGGGAAACAAAATGTGGCAGTGCTGCACAGAATGCAATAAGGGTAGTTTCTAGGCAGACATGAGCTCTCAAAGTGCATCTGCAGCGTGACTGAGGGTTGGCAGCGCTCAGCATTTGAAACCAATGACTGAGAATGTCGTTGCCTTGTGCCATCAAGTTGACAATAACACAGATACCACTTTCAACATTTTTGCACCCAATTGCCAGCTTTCCAGTTTGCGACGATTCCTCAATAAAATTCAACAGACCATTACCTGCGAGACCACATGTGTTTCGTTCGCTTGTCTCCCCAACTGAACTGCTTCTATACCCTCCACTGCCTGCAAGGCATCCACGATTGTATCCAGCCCTCTGAGAGACGTTCCCCCAGGAGCATACGATGATCCAGAGGGCGGCGCTTCGCTAATGGGCAGCAGGGTGTCCAGTGTTTCTCGCAGCGGGTCCTGTTGGGCTTGCCGCAAAGACAGGCTGATGCGTCCCAAGTCCTTGTCAATTCCTGTCACAATGGCAGTCACTTCTGTCCCTGAAAGGCAGATGAAAGGAACCCAGCTAAGTGTGTTGCCAAGAGATGACAGATGCCGACTGGGTTATTTATTCAATGTCAACTTTTGGTTTTAATTGCAGCTGTCAACAAATGACTCGAAGGAGAAAACATCGTTGCTGGTGGTACCGTGCGCTTGCCAGTGCCAAAATCGATGGAAGAATTTCCCTGTCATTCACAACATGTGTAGCTCCAAGACTGATAAAGAGACTGGGTGTCAGGAACTGTTGAAGTTCCAAGTGATCTTTCCACATCAATGGGGAAAACTGTGAAGTGGGAGACAGACAGGAAGGCCATTCGCATCATTGTGACAGATGCCGTTGAGCATGTCACCCACAATTGTCAGTGCGCAGCACCCATATGCTGTATGAGCCTTTGTGGACATTTTGTCAAAAACAACATGTATTCAAAAACTGTGCATGGCAACGTTGAAGGTCAATGACAGTGCATTCGTCAAGTGGTGGTAAGCATAGTCAAACCAAAGCTTCAATGCCATTGATGCACACACAGATATGCTGGTTTGTGCTGCTCTTTTGTGCTACAGAAACGGCCAGCCTGATGGCAGCTCTTTTGACAACATTAAGGGGCATCACACCCATTTGAGTTTGAAACCATCCCAAGGCAAACATTCAGCAACCAAATCACCATGCTGTGAGGTACATGCTTCTCTTTCCTCAGGTGCTGATGGGAGAGGTGGAATGTAAAGCAGTCATGCAATTGCATGTCTGTGCACTACCAGTTCATGACACAGTGCTGGTACTGGCCAGTGGGTAGTTCATGATATCGATATCAGTTCCACATTCTTCCGATCCACCAGTCCCGTCCACACATGATGTTGATCATCCACACAATTCCCTTTCATCAGCTTATAAACAATCACATTTCAGGCATCCAATTATCGACATTGCTCTAAATTTCCAAGCCAACACTAGCAACCTTCCATGTTGTGCAGTTTCCATGCAGTTGGGTCCACGCAGATGGTCCCTGGGATAGTCAAACGCCAGCTAAAATGGGTGCACAAGAAAGTAGGTTCAAGACACCAAGGAACCCGAATATCGTTGCCACAGCAGCCATCATTTTGACTGTCTTTTGTGCTTATACAAGCAGGTGGATTGAAGAGAGACATTTGCTGTTAGCGAACGACCAGCAGACGTGGATGTACTGGAACAATTTCAGCACCTTGCAGATTCAATTGGCAAACCTGCTTTTCTGCAGTTCCTTGGCAGTGTGCCAAAACAAGGTTATTTAATCAACTCTTTGTTCAACATCGTGCAGAGGGGCAATGGGAGCAGAAGCACATGCTTGCTGTTCATTAACAGCAACCCAACGACACCCTTGTGAAAATGTGTCATAGTGCAGGGAATGGACTGCAAAGGCCAGTCATGGCACTGGCGGCCGCAATTAGGAATTGAAGAATTAAGATACACTTATCGTTCTTTGGACCTTGCCAAGGGCAGTCCATGGCACACCATGGGGGCACAAGTCAAAGTTGCCTTGGGAAGCATGCAAAACTCTGGATTGCAAAGGTACCCTTCTTTGATAGCATGGGGCAACAGGGTGGGGCTCGCACCAGGAACCTTGCAGTGTCCTGAATCAGTGCAATAGTGGGCCCAGTTTTGAGGCAACAGGGCATGAATTCCTGTGCAACAATCCCTGCGCTGTCAACCTGTCAGCAGGGCCACAAGCACAACATGCCCACTTCACATAATCTGTAGCGAGAGCTAAACAGTGGAAATTGTTGAACATTTTGTGACGGTGGCACATACTGTTCTGAAATGGGACAACAGAACTTCATGCACAGCAGCGAGGCACAGAAAGCAGACAGCAGTTGCCGGGGAAAGACAGGATGGGGGACTGGGGAGGGTGGCACAATCATGGTCTGCTGTGACCTCTGTTTCACCTTCCTTCAGCAGTGCATCGGGAGTGGCCACCTTGTCCCAGGACAGCTCAGATTTGTGGACAAGGCCTGCCACCCCATGCAGAAGCCCATCCTGCAGTCGTATGTCCACAAAGGCTCCGTAGTCCACCACGCCTGTGACGACACCCTTGACCTCATCGCCAACATTCAGAAAACCCATGGCCTCGTCGAATAGAACAGCCCTCTCGGACATCACCAGCACGTTGTCTTTTTCATCAACCTCTCAACAAAGGCATTTCGAATAGAGAAAATTTAATGATCGAACCAGCAACCAAGGAAGTGGTGTCAATAGTTCATCCCTGAACTGCAACAGCACGCTGTGCCGTGTTTCACAGCCGTTCCTGATGGGTCATTTTTGCAGTTGCCTTCCTTTCGCAAAGCAGGGCCTTTGCACATGTAAAGCTATGGCAAATAGCTATCCATCCAAAACACTCATTACCCAGTCTTACACCATTCACAACCAGCTCTTTCAGACTGTGCACATTTAGCAGTCAACAGTCATTTCACACACCAAGGGCTGCCTAGATGAATACACACAATTGGTATCCTGGTGGCACCATGTGTGCATTTTCTAAACAAAAATGATGATAAATGAGCTTGAAGAAAACAGCACAGTTGAGGACAAAACACTCAACTGAGGAAAGAAAAGGACAATTTTCAAGCAACTGCCACAACGTTCTTCAACTGATTGAGCAGGCGGGTCGAGATGCCATGGGTTGTGGCCAAGGGCCATTCCACAAACATTCTCAAGCACATGGCAAACAATTGTTTGTCAGCACCTCACAGGTGCAAGGGCAGCGTTTTGTCACATTCTAACGATTTAATCAACAGAGGTCAGTATGCTGTAACAGTTGAAACCAAGCCTATTTGCACACAGCACTACCTCGCTGTGGTGCGATTGTGACAATGTCTGACCTCATGCTGCAGTACAGGACTCTCCTTACAATGGCCAGGAACAAATGCAAAAACGAACTTCCAAAGAAGCCCTTTCGATCAACGTGCAACACAACAGTAAATGCCATGGACTCACAAGGAAATGGTGGCGTCAGTGCCTGCAGTTGATATTTGGGTCGACTGCATAGCAGATCGAGGGAACAGATGCGCACTACTTTCTGATTATGTACCATTTACCAGGCAGCTGCTATGCGGAAGGATTGGTTAATGCGGATGTGTACCTTGATAACTTTTGCCCGAATGCTCTGCCCCATCAAATATTTTCTGGACCTATCCTCATGTTCTTTTTCTAAGCGGCTCTGATCCAAACGAGAGTATGGAATGAAGCCTGCAGCACAAGCGGACACACCATTTGGAGGTCGTCACTGCGTGTATGAGTCAACATAAAAATTTTGATCGAAAGTCGTGGCAAGTGTACTGAACCCATTGTGTCTTGCACGTGGGACTGTCCCACAATTGACAATGATAGTTGCAAATGCATATGTGGACCACAATATAGGCACTTCTCCTGACAAAATATTTCAAGGTATTTCCCAGCTGAAAAAGATGATTAAAAATTACTTCCTCTGTCCCATTTCAAATGTCTTCTATTTAAATCGCAAAATTCGTCACAATGACAGTCTCAAAATTACAAATGGAGGTCAGATTCGGAAAGATTGGGTCCCCAAACCCTTAACTACTCATTTTCAAGAAGAAGAAATGAGCCCTTACCTCTTTGAGGCCTGGGAGAAAAGAAAAATGTGGTCATTTTGGAGCGAAATATTTGAAGTTTACTACTTAGTGGATTGACAATATTTTTCGACTGCATACTCCAAACTCACAAACACAGCTTTGGACGAAATGTCATTGAAAACCGAAGTTCCATTGAGGGAGGAACAATGCGCTCAAAAGTAGAGGACACTTAACATGGGACAGAGGAAGTATCCATAAGGAGTAGAAGTTGTGAGAAACAAGGGCCAAGCTGCAAGTACTGAGTGGACTAATTTCTTCACCACAGTTGTACACGAACAATACATCGCTCCTCATTTTCTTGACCGAAACGTGATGCAGGCAACAAGAACTCAATGCAGCAACCTGCTCAATCAACAGGGACATGCCTGAAAGGTCATCAAACTGTACAAGGACGCCCCCTTTGTTGACCCCCACAATGGGTCCCTCCCAAATGGTGCCGGACTGCTCATAGTTCACTGCTTGCTCCCATGTCACCTGCAGGTGATCGATCAACAGCAAAGTCAAGGCTCTACCCTGCAGTGGAGGTTCCATGTGATGGAAACCAACATCTGACTATCGATCAAAGCCAAGATAGGCACACAATGCGCTGTTCTGAGCTCCGCGCAGCACAGTTTGGAGCTTTCACGCCATCCTCAATCACTGCCTTACAGATTCTCCCTCCTCAGAAGCGCAGCATGGGCGCAGTCTCTGGGGCGTCGAGCTGAAACCACGAATGGAATGTCCAAATCAGGACGGGGCTCAGCGTTGAGCAGACATGTGGCATTCAATCTGCCGTCCGAGGACGCGTGAGGCCGAGAAGCAATCAACACCGCGGTTCAATGTTACCGTCTCGCAGATGCGGCGCCGGGTGCCCTCCTCAGGAACTGACTCTCCTGAGGCAGCCAACAGAACTTCCGCTCACTTCAACGCAATCAACTTGGGCGACTGCCTTTAAACAAAATGGTAACATTCGCAAAATGTCCACCCCACTCCTGAGCATTCAGCAGGTTCGCGGTTCGCTGGGCATCACAGTTCCAAAGGCGGCGAGCGCCAATGGCAGGGATCGACAAATCATGCGTGTTCCGATTCACCGATGCCCACGACCACTTACTGTGTGAAGGTGCTTGGGCAGGAAGGGCGTGCCGCGGGGCCCACAATCAGCCTGTCCCGCACGGGGATACATGGAGCGACGCTGAAGTCTGCAGCGCACCGAGCTGCGGTTTGCCGGCACCGATTGGGCAGGTTTGGGTCGGGTAGCACCGAACAGTGAGGCGCTTTAGTACTGTCGCGTGTTGGGCATTCACTGCCAATCGTTGTGTCTACGTGGCGTGGCGCCAGGGTGGCGGTGGGCAGGCGAACCATTGGGCTTGTGCGTAGGGTCGGATTGAGAGTTCCCCAACGCCAGTGCCCGCACACCCACAGCTGGTGTTCATGTTGCCAGCACAGCTGGGGCACGCTCACCACATCTATGCCGAAAATGAAATTAACTATCCTGTTCATGGGTTTCTGCCAAGGGCGACGATGGGTGGGCTGCACCGGCGATTCAAACGGTGCAGTTTGAAACTGGGGTTTACTCAACCTCGTCCCTTGGGATTTTTGGCCACCCCCTAGTACCGTGGGTCAGTCAAAGTACGGTAATATGAGGTGCCGCCGGCGATGGCGCCCTCGAGTTTGGCGGGCTTTGGCGGGGCGGCGGAGGGCGGCTATTTAGGCAGCCCCTCGGTCCCCCTCCTTATCTTGTTTCGCACCCAGCCCTCCCGCCCTGGACAGTGGAGTTCTTGTTAGTTGTGGGATGGAGAGGGAGTTGAGGGAGTGAAGTACGGGAATGGGAGATGACTCATGGGGAGTCACTCACTGAGTGGCGTTAAAGTACTAGCAAAGCGAATGGGCAAGTTTGACGGACGGGAACCTCGGGTTTGTGACATTGACGGCTGTTTGTAAGTATTGTCATGGGGGTACATGACGGGGTGGGCTCAGGAGACCGGTAAGGCAGAAATGGCACTTCTTGATGAAAGGGCTGCTGAATGGGAGTGGGGTGGCCCCAAGACGCCACCAAAGATTTCGTACAGGCGAAATGATAATGCACCCAAGGAAGTGGCACGAGATTTCTGAATTCGCCGCGGTATCTGCAGACAGTGCATGAATTGCTAAAATGGATTCAAAAGCGAAAGGTAGTCAACACGAAATGGGGGGAAAGGAGCAAAAATTTTGGAGATTTGATGTTCACGTGTAAGGGAAGCTACATGGATGGCTGACGATGTTCTTGGAATTCGATAGCTGCAACCCCAGGCTGATATGGACCCAGGCTGGGATTCCCAGCGAGAGGAAAAGAGTGCAGCACCGCCGGTTTCTGGAGTAGTTGCACTCATGGCTCGCTAAAGGGGGTGTGGCAGTGCAACCTTGCAATATGGGATTGCGCACGTCTGGCAAGAATGAGAGGCAGAACACGATCTCCATGCAGATTATATTACTGGGGCCACAAGCTCAATTCATGGGGCCGAAATCGCTGTGGCTGAACAACGATCTTCATGCGTAAGCGTGGTTCCAAGCGACCGTTGGCAGAGTTTCATTGAGGGCGTTATATGCACAAGATGTTCGAATTCGAACCGGTTCATGTTTCACATGCCTCACTGAGGCAACTTCAATGAGTTTTTGCAACAACTCTACGCACATCAGGGACATCGATGTGTTATACTGGGATTTTAATTTTGGTGATCTGTTTTTGGGTAGGACGGATGGAACTCTCTTGGGTGAACATTGTACGGACATGAACAAAATTTTCTCGTTATTCTTTCTTGACACCGAGCATGCTTTTGGATTCGAGCAATTTGGGGTTTTGCGTTGCCTTGCCTGCGCTTGTTCCGTGGCACAGGGCCCACATACTGGGTGACGGAGATGAACAACGACTGATCTGCACGGTGGGTGCTTGTTTACCGGATTGGCTATGATTCTTAGGTGGTATATGCCACCCCATCACCGTGCGTATGCGGCTGGTCCATATCTACGATATCATGTAGGCTGTGATGGGCTAAGATGTTGCGGCATCCTTGTCCCTGATATATGCATCCGTTGCCACACTCCCGAGGGGCACGGGTTGGGGCCTTTGCGAGCTTCTCTTGTCTCCTAGCAGGTCAGCGTGGCGGTTGGCTTGGTCGGGGTGGATCTGGCAGCAGCACATTAGGAGCACGCTTTCCCCTTGGCCGTTGACGCGGGAAGTAGCCAAGAGGCAGTATATGTCTGTACGCAATCTTGTCATGGCCTAGCGGCCTTGGGCTCCTCACCATTAGGCATGCTGAGGTTCGCCTTTGTCCAAAATGTTAAGCATACTAAATCACAAGGCGATCCCGCTTCTTGATGCTGAACTTTTGTGAGGGACGCCTCAAACATGAGGAGGGCCAGATCAGTCGAGCGGCAGCTGTGCGCCTCTTCCTTCCAACCCACCGTGTCTGCTGTCGCGAGTCGGATTCGTGTGGGAAGCTCGCTTCGCCGCCCTGCTCACTGAAAGCGGCTCTGACGGAGCTTGTGTGCAGTTGAAGGCATGGCGCCTGCGGGAATAATGGGAGTGTCTCAACAGGCGGCCCGGGTGGCCCAGGGACTGCATCCAGAGGTTCGATCTTCGTATTGGACCACGACCGAAGAGCCTCTTTCTATTGTGCATCTGCATGGCGCCGTGTTGAAAAACTCTGATCGCTGTACTCGCTTGACTTAGCGATGTTGATCCTGGACTGTCTTTCAGTATGGTTCCCAACAAATCCGTATTAGAACTGGCATTGATAAGCTTTATTGCCTTCTGTCAATAGAAATGGTTTGTGGGCAGCTCTAAAGGACTTCAGCAAACAAGAAACTTACCTCCCGATATTCATCGCTCAGATCGACACAGCTGGCACAAGTGCGACTGGACAGCTGATCATCACCTCTTTCTGTGCTGCTGGAGATGAAAATCGAGGGGAGAGACGAAATATGATTTCAAAGTTTGGTGCACACCGCTTTGTGACACAAGACTCGTTTGGTAGGCTGTCAGACATTGTTTCTTATAAAATTGCTATCTGACAGCCTACCACAGTGATTGTGGACATTATTGGCAGGACAAGCAGTTGGTTTGAAAGGGAGCAGTGCCAGTTTCTGCAGCTTGAAAATCCTGTGCCATGGAGTACATGCACAAACATGTGTGGATCTACTGACCAGCCTCTGTCTGCAGGTGCCACCAGGTTCTGGCCAGAGCATGCGGATACAGGGCTTCTGTGTTGGCAGGAAGCCAAGGGAACTAGCTGTGCGTGTGCGTGCCCAAGTTACTGAACAAACCACTGCAAAACAGCTTCAGAGGGACCACATCGCAGGGGATGTGTCAGAGCTTGTGGGGAACACCCCCATGGTCTACCTCAACAAAGTAACCAATGTAAGCACTGTACTGAATATATATGGGCGTGTGACACCAGTGGTCTCCACTCCGTTCCTTCTGTCCTGGATGCTTGGAACCGCTGAGGTCCCATCAGATCATAGATCTGTGTCAGAAAGAAATGAATATGAACAGAAGTATCAGATCCAGCTGAGACACGCAAGCCACTTGTCGCCATCAGGTTGGGTGCAGGAGAACTGCAGTCCCACTTTGGGTCTAGAATTGGCAATCTTATTGTGCTGTGTTGAAAACGTGTTCAGGGATGTGGTGCTCGGATTGCAGTGAAGATGGAGACCATGGAACCCTGCAAGAGCGTGAAGGTAAGATGTCAATTCACACAGTTGAAGAACACTGCTGAGGGGATGTTTGGTATGCCACCCATTCTGTTGCACTGTTGTTATGCTGCATAGTGATGTCTTAGGGCTCTTGTTTCTTTGTGCAGTTTATGCCAAGTTGTTTCCTCTTTGTGTTCTTCCCTGGCACAGCAATGTGTGATCTAAACTGGTTGACTGGATGCCCTTCCCTCCCAAAATCATTTGTCCTGCCTTAGATTACTCTCATGGAGTTGATATTTTGGTGACATACGCTTTTATATGCTTTGGTGCTTAAATTTTGTGGTGCATTTGCGTCTGCAGGATCGAATCGGCATGAACATGATCGAAGATGCTGAACAAAAGGGTGTAATTCAACCGGGCAAGACAACGTTAATTGAGCCCACCAGTGGCAACACCGGAATTGGATTGTGTTTCATGGCTGCAAGCAAAGGATACAAACTCATTCTCACCATGCCTGCATCCATGTCCATGGAGCGACGGGTGCTGTTCCTTGCGTTTGGGGCGGAGCTTGTTTTGACTGGTACGAACCTCCTCTCAGCAATCACAAAAGTTCACTTTTTGCCATGTGGGGGGAGGGCTGGTTGTTTGTTGCTCTGCATCTTTGCAAGTTTTGCTCACAGGCAGGTTGCATAACAGCTCATGACCCATCAGCACAATACCATATTGTTTGAGCAAATGCGCCAGATCGATGCCCAGTTCAGCTGTGCAGAAATGTTTTCCAGCAGATGAAGTCGCATGAAAATACAGTCATTGATTTAGCTGCCATATTTGGTATCCATCTTGATGCACTAATGTCACCTTTGCTTTTCTCGGTTCCAATCCATGCTTTCTGCTCTAGGGAAGGAAATGTACACCACTGTCTCTAGGATTGCAGGGGATTGTTTGTGGTTCACCTGGATTTGTTGTTTACGGCTTGCTGCACAAGTGTGCTGCTGTTTGTGTTGGCAGCAGCAGAGTCGCTGCATAGGTTAGCTGATCTGTATTAGCATGGGCTATGTGCAAGGTTGGCACAAACGTGTTCCACATGAGGCCACAGCTCATGCATTGGCAGCTTCTTTAAATCCAAAGCTTGCTGCCATTGTGGCTGCACTTCATCAGTGGCGTTGTTACCAGGTCACTCCAGGTGGATCTGCTGTTCTAAGCGTGCTGTGCTATTGTGCTGTTTAGATCCAGCAAAGGGCATGGGCGGGGCCATTGCAAAGGCGCGCGAACTTGTTGCCAGCAACCCTGATTCCTACATGTTGCAGCAGTTTGACAACAAGGCGAATGTGCAAATACACAAGCTCACAACAGGTGCTTTGAGCTGGCGTTTGCAACATTTTCCTGGCAGTGGTTCAAGTCATTGTTTTGGCTCAACTGTCTCTGGTTGTCCCAATCGTCTGTGTATGCCCCACTTGGGGATGCAGTCTATGCCAATAGAAAGCAAGAATGATCACAGGGAGGTGAGGGCATAACTGGGTTGAAAGTCACTCTATTGAGCTATTGTGCTCTTGTGCACAACATCAGAACAACTAGTTTGATGTTGTGTTCAAGTATGACAGACATACCAACAAGTCCAGTCTGTGCATGGTTGCTCTTCGTCATGATCATTCATGTTTCCTTGCTTGCCTGCAGTATTGATGATAAGCAACGATCCCCTGCAGGAACCATTCAGAAACCTGTTCCATCCTTGCTGCCGCTTTCTGGGCTCCATTTATCCTTTGTGCGAGGGAGGGGGGGCACTGTGTTAACTGTGAACTGTAAGGGAGACGGCTTGGAACCCTTCGATTCTGTCTTGCACACCGTCCACGATTCTGCCAGATTTCTGCAGAATTCACTGTGCTGTTTGCTGCTGTCAACACACTTTTTACTGTTGTTGCTCAGGCCCAGAGATTTGGCGCGACACTGCTGGCAGCATTGATATCTTTGTTTCTGGCGTTGGGACGGGCGGAACAATCACAGGGGCAGGGGGTTACCTCAAGTCTATGAATTCCAACGTGCAGGTAGTTGCTGTTGAGCCCACTGAGAGCTCTATATTGTCAGGTAGGTGGACACAAGCAAAGCAAACCACATCTGATGTGCACGCACACACATAAGGACCCTTGCAATGGCAAACAAGATGAGGGCACTGAAACTGGTTGGCAATGTAGCAGGGGCCACTTCAGAGTCAGACCAATTGTGGGCACTGACTGTGCTGTGCATCATTCACAGTGCTCAAATGTATCTGTGCTTGGAGGGCACAGACCCAAGCGACGAATTGTACCTAATGTGCATGCTGGCATATCATAGGCAATGTGACTGGGGCAACTGCGATGCCTAGTGTGTGCCCCAAAGGTGATGTCCACTTGAAGTGCCATTGCCAGAAGCTTGCAATCCATGCACAGCTCGTCAGCAGTGGGAGGAGTGGCTGGCAGTGTGTGGGAAGTGGTCACGTCTACCTGTAATTCTGCTTCTAATGTACGAATCATGCAGCATTTTAAGGTTGTGCAGCACGCTCAGTTCCTTGCATGGTTCTTGTTGTCATTATATGTGCAAGTACACAGGTCCTTTGAACGACGAACGCCTGGGTCCTTGTGGTATGTCCTTTGATCCCAAATTGGGATTCCCAATGTGTTGCTGTGCCCACTGTTTCTGTATGGGAGCGTGCCTGCTTCAAAACTTGCACATTTCGCTGTGAGATGTGCCATCCTTCACGTTTCAAAGGCCCTGTTCCTGAAACATACAAGGTTCCAGTTGATGGGAAAGTCCATTGTGACCGTCATGGTCTGATTTTCCTTTTCCGTGTTGTCCCTTACTGCATGACATGAGCAGGCGGGCTGCAGAATGTGGGGAATGGGGAGACTGTCATTTGGAAACGAGAGAAAACAACTCTGTCGCAGCAGAACTGCCATGTTTGCCATGTGCATGTAACCTGATTGGCAGTATCAGCGGGGCGGACAACACAACTCGCTGTTTTGACCGCATCACAGGTGGCAAGCCAGGTCCCCACAAGATCCAGGGCATTGGCGCTGGCTTTGTGCCAGGCATCCTCGACACTAATATCTACGACGAAGTCTCAAGGGTTTCCAGCGACGAAGCCATAGCCATGGCACGAAGGCTCGCAGTGGAAGAAGGCATCATGTGCGGAATTTCATCTGGGGCAGCAGTGAAAGCGGCCATCGAGGTGAGGGGCAGGCACTTGTCAATTAAGCAACATTGCTAGCTTTGGTGATTGTGGGTTCTATAATCTGAATTGTGATGTACATTCAAGAGATCAAGTAAATAACGGACGTGGTGGTACAAGAGATGGGCCCGTTTGCCACATTGCAAGACGCTGTACAGCGGAGTGAAACACTGAGAGTATCCGTTTCCAAGTAAGGAATGCGAAAACTGAGAATCGGGTTGCTGCACCATGCTCCTTGTTTATTAGTGGTGGTGTGGAAGAAGGAAAGGGGTTGGGGGGTGGGGGGTGGGGCCGGGGCGCCTGCCGAATTGTAGTGGGTTTCCTGATTCGCTAATGCCTTGCCCCAAAGACGGCTTCGGCGATTGTGTAGGCCGTGGGTGGTGTGCCTCTGAATGCGCAGTTGCACTATTGAGTGCGTTCACGCACTGAGAGGGACTGGATTGCCCTTTGGCCGTTACCATGGGCCGTTCTTTAGCCCTCGCCCAACGTTTAGTCTTGCTGTGCTGTTGGCTGCATTTGCCCTGCATGCGAAGAACAGTTTGGACATTTAGTTCTTTGTGCTGCTTCCAGCACATGTACCACCACGTTGCAGCCTGCCGTGAGGTGATGGCTCGTCTCAGTATGCGTGTGAATGACTCACAAAACTCAGCAGCACTGAATGGGGACAATGGACCCAAAGGCGTGCGCATTGTGTAAGTTCTTTGCTTGCCGTTGTCGAGCACTACAAACACGCCGCCGATGAAGGGCAAGAGTTCATACAATGGCCATATGCGATCGCCATTCGTGGCATCCAGATACCAGACCCCAATGTTGCGTAAACCGTATGAACGACGCGCAGAGACGTGGAGGCGGCAAGGGCGATGTCCGGAGTATGCGACATGGGATATGTGCCCGAATGCTTGACGCGCAGTTGTTCAATTTTGTTTTGATGAAATTTGTCTTACACAACACTGTGCTCTTGCGCCATGAATCGCCCTGCTGCGCAAGGTTTACACCTTGGCGCTCTGAGGTTTGATGGGACTGGTTCGTGTGTTGTACAGGTGGGCTCGCGACCAGAGAACAACGGCAAGTTGATAGTTGTCATTCTACCCAGCTTTGGTGAGCGCTACCTGTCCTCGGTTCTGTTCCAGGCCCTCCGTGACGAGTGCCAGGCAATGGGGATCAACGAGCGTATTGCGCTGTCGGACATGGCTGGTAGGCGATTTTACGTGCCATGAACGCGGGCTGCCAAAATGACTGACCATTGACGGCGAGGTGTCCGCTGCTGGTGCTGTTGTGGGCCGGACAGGGCAGGAGGCTGCGTGGGCGATTGGGCTCTGCGTGTAGTGAGCGCGCATATTAAGGCCGGGCATGCGATAGATGCATTCGTACTTGGAGGGCCGTTGGTGACGCACTGTGACAACATGATCCTTAACGGAAGGTCGCCTGCCCTTCAGTTCTTCATCGTGCAATCGGCCAGACCAGTGAAACTGCTTTCCTATTACATTCGTCAAATGGAGGAAACACTGCCTACTTGGCGAACCAGAATTTCAAATTGCGTATGCAGCTGTCCTATTTTGCAGCCAATAAATACACTGCCCAGTCATTTGGGCAGCCCATTCTCCGTCCCCCCCTGGGCTTGCAAGCCGTCCAGCGCCTTGCACATGCCCCGAACGTGGGCAGACCCCACAACGGCCACCACCCGCCGAGGAGCCTCAAGTGGCATGTACTCGCCGTCGCCCAAGCCCTGCACCACGTGGGGCGACCACGTGGTTGCCCCATTTGGCATCATGTATCGGTACACCCACTCGCCCTTGATTTTGTCTAGAACATATGCCGGTGCGTCTCCGCTCTCTCCCGTGGCCGCTGCCCGAAGGTTTTTGGCCATGTGGGCATCCCTTGCGTGGATGATCGGCTCCATCGCTCCAGGCCAGTCGAGCAGAGCGTCCTCGCCAAAGAGCTTGAGAGGCTGGTCCAGTCGAGACTGGATGGGCTCTTTCAGGGTCACAGCTTCCTCGATCTCTTCTGTTGACATTTCTGACAGCTTGTAGATCTCGTACAGTGGGCCCAGGATGGGCCACAACAGGAGGAAGATGCCGGCTGTGCCCGCAGACAGGACAGCAGGAGCAATGGCGGGTTGCAAACTGGCATCGAGGAAGGGGGCATCCAGAGGCACACCCTGCAACAGGCCAGCCACGACAAGGCCCAGCAAGCCAGCTGCCGCTGCAAACCTCCATATCATTCCCTTGAACATGCTCTCCGCCAGCATAGCCTTGCTCACCTCTTCTGCGCTGTCGGCCAGGTGGACTTGGTTGACGCCTGCAGCCGCAGCAGCCTCCAAGCATGCCCGCCAAGCAGCACCTGGATCCAAGCCGCTCTTTCTTCCCGCCTCATTTTGGTATTTGCCAAACAGGCCGGTCATGACGTCGCCGAATGTCTCGATGGCATCGAATTTGAACTTCTCCTCGTCTTCGGGTTTCTTTTGCTCTCTCACCTCATCCCACTCCCTCCACTTGGTTTGAACCTCCAAGGCGCGCCAACTCCGCGCCTGCTCCCCTCCTGGCCCATTGCTGCTCATCTCTGCAGCGTCACGACCATCCGACTCTATCAGCTTCTTCAGCGCGGCCCTGGGCACCTTCATCCCTGAGGACAGCTCCACGGGCTTCCTAGAGGGGCGAAACCTATCGATGCCCCAGCCCGTCCCCCCTTCCGCCCCTTCCTCCAGACCAGTAACCAGAGGCCTGTCGTCAGGTCTCCGCGCCCTCAACACGATCTCCAGCTTCCCCCTGTCCTCCCCGCGGCAGACCAACACCCCGTCCTGCAGGCCGCCCTCCGCCATCAGTCGCAGCAAGCCCTTCCTGAGGCGCAGGTACTTCCCCAGGCTGGACTCATCCCCATCGGCATCCATCGCCTCAGATTTCAATGCCTCCAGCGCTTCCTCGTCAAGGGCCAGGTCCTTCAGGCTGCTGTCCATCCGGACGTCCACCTCCACGATGGGCGGCAGTGCGCGCTCCTCCACGGTGAACTGGACCTCGCCCAGGGCAGGCACCGTCTCCACGGCCACCTCGCCGCCCGCGGGCTTCACCATGAACGCCGGGCCCTCCAGCTCGTCCGCCTGCCTGAAGCCCGGTTTGCCCCTCCGGAACAGCCCCGTGGACAGGAGGGCGATCACATCGTCCTCTATGTCCGCGATCGATACAGGGTGACCCGTGCGCACCGTGAGCAGCGACATCAGCTCCTCCTTCGACGGCCAGTCCTCGGTAAATGATGCGCCCGCCAGGGATATCCGCCGCGTGTGCCATGTCTGGGTGCCGAAGCCGCGGCTGGCCAACAGGCCCAGGCGGTCCTTGCACAGCTCCATCATCACGACGTCCGGGTGCACGGCGTCGATGAGGTCGCGGATGCTCTCGCAAGACCTCTTGGACACGTGGGAGATGCCCAGTATGTACGCCTCTGCTCCGACATTCTCGGATTTGGGATCGCCCACCTTCACGACCGCCACGTCCTGCTCCAGCGCGGGGGGAAGCGCCACGGAGCCAGCGGCGCGCAGCGGCCAGGGGGCCCTGCCCATCGAGTGGCGCCGTCGGGTGCTGCGCACGGCGCATGGCGGAGGATCGGCGCGCGGAGTGGGCAAAGCCTTCAGTCCGCGAACGGGGAAGCCCGCCCGCGTCGTGGACCCGGCCGCAAGGTGCGCCATCCTGCCCCCCAAGCGCGCGCTGGGCGGGCCAGCGTCGGGATCTTCCCTGCCCACCTGCCAGAATGCCCGGACAGTCTTCACCTGGGGCAGAGGCAATTTGGCAGGTGACATTTTGGCAAACGCATCGTAGTCGTATCGCCGTATGGGAGGGGCAGAATCGCGGTCACCACCATTTGTCAAGGCCATGTGATGGGCATAACCCCAGCGTGTCGCGACCAAATGACATGAACAAGGGGATAATGACGACAATGACGATCCCAGAGAATGACCGGTGTCCTGCAGAAGATGGGTTGTCGGAGATTCTTTGAGCAGGCGATGATCCTATTAGTGCGCCCATCAAATTGGATAAGCGCGACCATCAAAGAGTCCTTGGATCTGTACTGAAATCTGAGATGGAGCTTCAGACACTCAAGCCCGATGATCCCAATACATATGTTCTTGTAGGTTGCTACATCATGCAAACACCATTGTGTTCTTTGTAATGCTGTCTTGGGACGATCGTGTTCGCGATCCAGCGCCACTCAGTGATCGTGTGGCTGCTGTACATTTAGCGCATGACTTAGAATGGACACAGCAGAAGGCTGTCAGAATTTGAGTAGACCTCGTGGTTTGGCGCCCCCGCACATGATTTCAGAGGACGACTGCGGTGGGAGCACCGGACTGGGAGAAAGGTGGCTGGTGGCGGGCGTTATTTCAACGTCCGAGGAAGCAGCGACTTGATGACAGAGTCGTCAAGGTCCGTGCGACGACACAGGTGACGCCCGTTGGCCTGAGCGAGAACGGGGTTCCGGGCACGGGCGGAGCTCATCCTGGCGGGCAAATCGTTACGGCCTGGTAACATTCACCCAACGCTTGAGTTTATGTCATGAGCCGGGAACCTAACTGATTTTGTCAGGAGTTGTATGCAAGGGGTGTCATTTTTGCGTGCAAGGAACTATACAGTAATCCCAACTTTATTTTTTGTGCTAACCAGTCGCACCTATTCGAGGAATAGAATACGGGCATGGCAAAAAGTACTCCCAATGCCTCAAAGGCTTGTGAGGCAGCGTGCTGTTGCAGTAACAAATGGAAATCAAGCCAAACTAAACCACTTACCAATTCACCATGAGGCGTTCACTTGAGTAAAATTACATTCCATCAACTGATCGTTCAGATACGGGAAAATAAAAATACACTGCAAGTCGGCCGCTTTGTGCAGGGTCCTCAGCACTGCGCTGAATCAATTGAATGTGTCAGTGGCTGTCGAGCCCGTCGCAGCTTTCACTGATCAACAAACACAAATTGAGGCAGTGATAGATTCTCGCTTAATTTCCACTATCGAAACCTGACTGGTCACCCATTCCCGCATCATGAGCTTGAGTTTGCTCCGTTGTCTGAACCAGCTGCTGTGGCCATATCCTCTTTGGCAGATGATGTTGCTGCCGCTTCCTTGGCGCCCTCTTCTATCAGTGCATCCAACTCTTCCTTCCAGCCTGCAGAACAGCAAAGGGACAGATGACCTGCTCATTCGCTTTGAAGCTTGCCAGACAGTGCAATTCTCATATTTCAAATTCCCAGGAGCACGAGGGACTTCAGAGTTCTGGAATCTGTTGGGAATTGCAGAAGACTCCACGTCAGCTGTGCCGCATTATTTATGTGTTTTGCACATATTTGTGATGCGTATTACGCAGCACGTACATCGAGTGAAATATATGCACAGTGGACGGCCATGCCAGGCTGCAAATCCGAATGACAATATTTCTGAGCTGAAGTAATCAACCCACCGAGGAGCTCCGCAAGCTGAAAGACGCCATCGTCACAGCTACCAAGGATTTTCGCATCCCTGTAGTTCTCCGCGCCAAAGTCCAATCCGACCGACTCCCCAACAATCTCGTTGTTGATTAGCAAACGTGGCACTTCACTGCCTACTTCGTCTGCAAATCAAAGAACAAGTACACGAGTTTCAGCATTGGGCGCCTAACTCCTTACGATACACTATGGTCCTCAAAACTGAGGAAGCACCTGGAAATTGGACAGCAGCCATCGGCAACGCCAATTGCGCCACCAAATTCCCCATTATCCTTCCAGGTGGGATCCTTTCACGACTGAGCGTTTTCGTCTCAATGGTGCCCACATCGTCAATACTTTGCCAAATGCCAATGCAATCCCCTGATCAAGACCATGTCCGGCAGTTGCCGACGTGAAGGTTGAGACCTGGCAGCAAGTTTGACCAGCTTATCAACACAGTCGGGACTCCATCCGAATAGAACAAAACACGAATGCTTGCCTGCAGCAGAGCACCATTGATGCAATAGCACTCATGGCCACTGCACAGCATACATAAGAAAACTGCAGTGTGCCTACGCCCATGACTAGCCAAAGCACAGAAACCACATTAAGCCTCACCAACAAGACTGGCAAATGGATGCACCACCAGCGACGTGCCCAAGATAATGAGTAAGCTGCATTTCGGCATGTCTGACCCTGCAAGCTGTTTCACACACAGTTGCTGTGTCGTTCAGTGCTCCACATCAACAACAGCGCTTTAGAGCCCCGGTGATACCAGTCCTTTGGGTTGCCAGCACTAGAAACCCTTTCTATGGGTACCAGGAGCCCTTTGCAGCGAGTCTCCACAACATATAGAGGAAATGTGTGCAATTGCATCACAATGAACAGCTGCCATGCCAACAAGTTAATTGTTTCACTGAAAAAGCAAGGTAGGAAGCAAAGATACCATGCGCACGACCCTTTCTAAGCAAGAATTTGTGGTTTACGGCTGCATGGCAAGAGATGACCCGGAAGCCTAGACGCATCAGAAAAAGCACATCTGGCACTGAAATGCCACAATTTTAGTCCACCATTCCTTCTCTGAGAATTCCCTCAAGCCTTTGGAGGCAAGTCACCAATACTTGCGGTGCCCAGTGAGTATTCGAGAGGAAGCAAATAATATTATGGGCCAAAAACCTGTGGATGTGCACAAGATCTGTAATCACCCACCGGGTGCAAGGCCCTTTAACACCTGTGTGCCCACTACAGACATCACACAAGCCGATAGACCCTTGTGCGTTCTCAGCACCCTGTCGACCAACACATAGCGTACACCAGTATGCATAGGACCAGCAGGGGAAACAATGAACCCGAGACAGTGCACTGTCCCCAAGGGCCTTGGGAATCCGGTGGAATTTGTATATCAAGCTGATTAGGAGTGGGAAGTACAAGTAGAAATCATCAGTAAACAGTAGGATGTGGACTGTTCCACTTGTTAATTCGTTTCTGGATGCTGCAGCACCCTGTTATCAAACCGATACAATTGCCAGGGGACTGTATCTTTTGTGTTGATGGACACTGATTCAACGCCCACAGCCAATGAGACTGGTTTCATTTCAAATCTATTGCATTGGAAGTTTCTAATTTCAATTTTCCTGTCATGTGCATGGGCACATATTTAATTTGATCTCACATGGGACCGCACATGGCCTCTGCCCCACATCCCACCACATTTCCCCACTTTTCATTCAATGAATGCAGCATCATCTTTTAACAAGGAAAGAGAACTTGGATATCACACGCAATGCAATATAAATTTCCTGTCACATGCATGGGCACATCTTTGGTTTGATCCCATCTTTTTGTCACACTTTCTTTACTTGCTCTTAGGTTTGGCGACTGTTTTACGTATTGTGCATGGGTGACAAGTGGAGGAACCAACCGATCACCAACAGACCAACATGTTGGATGTGCAATATTGCTCATTCCTTGCATGGACCATGGGCCCTGCTCTGCCATGGACAGGCACATGAAACACAAGAAATTGTCAGTACGTTGTGCTGCCACAAGGGTCTTGACCTCAGGAACACGGCGCCCAGCTGTCTGTGATTAAGCACCTGACGTGTAAGGTGCATACCAACACTTGGTATCACAGCTGCCGCTGCTGGCACTGTCCTCTGTCACATTGCAGGCGTGTTGAGCAAACTGATATGCACATGACAGCGTGCTGCTCCCTACCATGAAAAATCTGGGAGGTAGAGCTTCACCAAAGAACACGATGTCTGGCTTGGCATAGGCTCTGCCATCAGCAGAGTCACACAGGAGCAAGTGTCAGAATGATGAATATAACACAGCCAAAAAATGAAACTATGCTTCTGTCGTTTGCCAACCGTTCAATAGTGTTGTTGCATATTGTTGTGAAGCATCAGTTTGCTTTTCTGGCCGTGAATTGGTGCACTGCATCTTGGGTATGGATCTGCACCTGGACTTGCCAAAATGTACAGATGTGGGAAAGCATGGGGCTGTTCAAAGTTCTTTTCATTTATTTCAGTTGGCAAGTGAGACACAAAGTACATACTGCCAAATACTCAATCCTTCTGCATCAGCAAATTTTACCATTATGCTTTTTGCTCCACATTTTTTCCAAAGCATTACTTTTTTTTGTTTTCACGTTGCTCCGCAACATCGCAAGGCCAAGTGTTAAGCTCTATTAACTTTTCTCCGACAAAAATAGCCAAGAGTTACTTACTATGGGGCAGGGTTTGAAAACCTATGGCAGTTCTGGAAACATGGCACGCAGGCAGGCGAGGAAGATCAGAGGTACATATCAGTGTATCAGCTACATATCATGCACCAGTGCACGTGCACAGTGGTCACACAAGGTAAGTCAAGCAGCAGTTAAGTGATCAGCACAGGCAAACAGCCACTACTGAGTCTTGAAAGGCAAACACAAGAGTTTGGCTTTTGCGAACCATACTACCCTCTAGCACATATAAACAAGCTCTTGGAAAGCTGTCACAATTGTGTCAAACTCGAAAACCATCCATGCAGTGAAGAGATTACCTACCCACATGAGCTGCACTTGCTGACATTTCCCTTCTCTAGATCCCCCTTCATTTGGTCTATGTCATATGCTTTGTGGCAGCCAATGCAATGCGCCCCTGTGCAGCCCAAAATAGCACACAATAAGGCCCTATGCAGTGCATCACAGAGTCTCTTGAGAAGAGTGACAATGAGTTATGAACCAGATTGTCAATGCAACGATAGGAGAGCCCCACTGCTTGGACAGGGGTTTGGAACTCACAATCACGTACTATTGCTCCTGGAACCACAGAACTAAATGCTTGTATCAAGTCCCTAGATAAAGTGTTTGACCTTTTAGGCGACCCTTTTTCATGAATCCACGATCATTTGCAAGAAGCAACTGTGCACCCATATCAACAACCTGCCGTGTGTATTTCTGCCAGACAGAACAACCTGGAAAGGGTGAATGCAGTATATACAGTGCAAGCCCAACTCCTTTGTACATTTGATGGCTTTTGAAGCAATCTGATGTTGTCTGCACTGCTGATATGAGTGTGCATATGTGCATATACCAACAAAAGGTGATGTATGGCACATTTGTGCAGCACACCAGAGCTGCACCATAAGTATGGGAATCTGCCAGGAGGGAAACCAGCCTCACAAAGTCTTGCCCATGTTTGGACAATGATTGTGAGACGTATTTCCATCTTGGTTGAAACCATATTTGACTCCAGTCCAGGGAAGGATATACACTGTGTAGAAGGGGTATCTCACCATCGAAGTTTCCATGTGCCGCAACAATGTACTCTGTTGGCAGCCCTGCTAGGCGTTCCAGGCAGTCAATGTTCTGAGTGAAGCATCGCAACAGGAGGCCCTTCTTTTGCAGCAGGGTGATGAAATAATGCGCGGGTGTGGGCCGATACTTGCCGGGAATCATTTCCTGCAAAGAGCACAGTGCTGCCAGTGGAATGGGGAATAATGTTTTCAAAGCTATTGCAGCGATGTGCCACAGCCTGAAGTGGAGTTGCTTGCAGGTTGACACAACATGTGTGCAGGGCATTAACATCTGGGAACACAATGCATTGACATCAATCCTGACTATGACAGGCAATGACCATTCTATGTGGTGTAAATCGTGCCAAAGGCTAGTGGATTGTCTTCAGGCATGGAGCACACATACCAGAATGCTGTACGACAAGGGGTTTTCCATTCTGTCTGCGACATTTTCTCTTTGATGAAATAATGTTATTCATTGAATTGTGTGGATCTGCGACTAAACATTCTGACAAATTGCTACAGACAAACCGGCATATGTTCTGTGCATGGATGCATTTCAGTTGGGGCTGACCTATGTTGAAGTCGACTCACTGCTCAGAACACATTTCAATCAACAGAGCGTCCTGCTGCGAGTCAGGAGTTTACCTTTGCCAGATTGACAAATGGCTCAGGATTCTCCCTGAAGTACGACAGAGAGAAAATTTCCTCAGGCCTCCTCAGCTTGTACTTCTCAACCTTCGAATAGATGCCTGTGCCGGGCGTCCTAAAATCCGGAATTCCTGCGCTGACGCTGATGCCAGCGCCACACATGCACACGATGTTTTTGACGTTGTTTTCCTTTATGTACTTCGCGACCCCCTCCGCATCGAAACTGCTCAGGACCGGGGCTCCCTGCGCAGGAATTCCGGTTTCATTGAAGCCAACGGTTGGCAACATGGGCACCTCCATACAGCACCCCTACCAGATAAACGCAGCACCACTGCTCCGCAGCATCTGAGAGAATCGGACGGCAAGCACAGATCTAGATGGCACCCTGCAAGCTCACCGTCCGACGCTTCCTCAGCGACAACGCCTGAAGCTGCTTCATCAAGTACAGAATGTCTTCTCGCTGCGAACAGAGCCAAAGGTCAGCACAACAGGGCAGCCAGCCAACGACGCGGGGCGAGGCACAGCGCCGATGACATTGCGTCGGAGGTTTCGAGGCGGTTCGGGCGACACAACACAGGTATCTTGCAGGGCAGAAGAGAGCTTGCCTGCAGGGGATCCAATGGATCAATCTGTGCTTCCCCCTCCACCCCCTCCCCGCCTGTGGCATCGCCATCAGCATCGCCAGCCTCCCGTCTGGAGCTTCCGGAAGCTCCTGGGCGCAAGCAACGAGCACGATGACATGTGGTGCCCCGGCAAGCTGCATTGACGCCGTTCTAACGCGGTTTCTGAGACGGCATGGCCCAAGGGGGACACTTTTCGAGGCGCCCAGCAGGCGGGGGGCCCCGGCCGTGCGCACCCGTCCTCCACTCGTCCATCGGGTCGCCTTCCGCGCGCTGGTGCATCGCTTCCCTAGCCTTCCACGGGGCGAGCAACGGTTCGTGCTTGTTGCGTGCGCAGAATACAACAGCATTTTACAGTAGGGGTCCCTATGTAGCGCCCTCCCGTGGCGTGGCCACAAGGGGGGCGCCATTGGGGCCCGGAGGCGCTATTGCGCTAAGGGGGGTATCCTGGCCGCTGATGTAGGGAGTACCATCAGCTGCCAATGTAGGGGGTACCATGGCCGACAGCGTAGGGAGTACCATGGCCACCAGTGCAGGGGGTACCCTAGGCGCCAGTGTAGCGGTCACACTGGTTGCCGGTATAGGGGGCACCCTGGCCTTCATTGTAGGGGGTACGGGTTCCCCTGCGCAACGAAGCTGCACAAAGTACTACAAAAATGGTGTCAAGCCAGAGGGGGCGCTATTGGGGGGGCGCTATATAGGGGCCCCTACTGTATCCCATTCGTGGATTGTAGAGAGGGGGTAGTTGTGGTGCAGCTGCATGACACCTGCCACTAATTGCAATGTAGTTGCAGAACGCCTACCAATAGGTTTGGTGTACCTTGCAAAGTGTGTTGCTAGGTTCTTAACTATTTCGCAATTGGGGAGAGCCTGTTACGCGCACCAGCCTGATGTGGGAGGCGTCCTACTAATGGCCCTTGGTGTGGGGGACGCCCTGCCCAAGGCACGTACTATTCCTCACCCACTGTAACCTTTATCCATATTAGGATACGGGAGTAGGAGGGGTGGTCCCGCCTAGGTGCCCTGTAAGGACCTAGGTGCCCGGCGAGGCGGGTCCGCGGCTCAAAGAGGGCAGGAACCCCACACCCACATCCTATTCGTAACAATTGGTTTCGGAGCCGCCTGAGGGTGGCGGCCACGCTTCCACCTGGGAGCGCGCGAGAGTACAAGACGCCGAAGCCCTTCCCCGGCCTCCTCCATGGAGGCCGAGGAATCGGAGGAACAAGCCCGGGATGGGCAGGGGGAAGAACAAGCCCGGGATGGGCAGGCGATCGATACAGCCCGGGATGGGCAAGGAACTGAACAAGCCCGGGATGGGCCAGGAGGTGTAACAGTCCGGGAGGACATGGCTGGACCCTCCACAGCCACATCGGCACCCGCAGCAGAAGATGAGCCGATGGAAGAAGTGGATACCCCGCCGGCGGCGGAGAAGACGCAGGAGCAAGACCAGGACGCTGAGGCGGCGGCGACGTTGCTGAAGATCCCTGGTATCAAAGAGCTCCTGCAGAAGATGGCGGATACCGCGGCCGAGAAGGCGAGAGCGAAGCGGGATGAAGAGACCGCCGAGAGGATCGCCTCGCTGGAGATCGCCGTCAACAAGGCCAAGAAAGAAGCTCGAGAGAAAGAGCTGGCCATGAAGAAGGCGAAGCAGCAGAGCCGCGAGGCCCAAGAAGCCAAAACCTCCGCCGAAGACCAAGTCAAGGCGTTGAGTGACCGCCTCCTGAAGCAAAAGCAGCGGGCCCAGGAGGCAGAAGAGAGAAGCGCCCAACAGGTGGTGCCAGCTGTGAGGGCCCCCAGTCCGTCGGAGCTGCCCATGCCAACCATCCCAGAGGAAGACTGGAAGGTTGCTGGCAAGCAGCGCTCCAAGCGGAAGAGTCCATCGCCAGGTGAGCGGCCGATGGAAAGTGAGAAATCTCCATATCAAGGCCGGGAGGCCAAAGCCTTAGGGCGAGTTGAAAGAATGCAAGGCCGGAAGGTCAAGATCCCGGAGCTACGGCTCAAATCCCAGGTGTATGTGAGAACACCTAGTGGATCGGACGGGACTGGAGATGAGTCGCTCACAGAAAGCGCTCAAGCTGTTTGCGGAAAAAGTCCGCCAAGGCCGGGAGGCCATAATTGGAGCCCTCGGAGGCCTGCGCTACCAGAATGGGGGCCGGGTGAAAGCTCAAGGGTGCTGGAGTTCGTTCCAGACACTCGAGATCCATATAGCCGGCAACCACCGTGCCGTGCAATGTGGACAAAGTTCCACAGTGATCTCGTCGATGAGCTTGACGAGGGATGGCGGATGGCCGCCGACCAGTTTGGAGAAAGGTTAACCACCGCCAGACTGGTTAGAATACAAAGGTGGTATGGTCCTGGAATGGCAGATCAAATTGCCAAAGAGGACCCAAATTGGCCAGAAAAGATGGCCTTTGCGCTCAGGCATATCCCGGAACCATGGGACTTGAGCGAGGGGAGTCCAGAGAGACCAGACCCTAATGATCCCCACGAGCGGTGGGAGGAGATCTCGGAATTGTCGTTCTCATCATGTGCTTCTCCTTTGCCGGGTGATATGTCAACCCGTGCACAAGTGCATAGGATGGAGAAGGAGAGACGACGGATTCGTAACCGAGATCGTTTTGCTCGGGCAAAGAAATTAGACGAGCAAAAGGCCAGAAAGGCCAAACAGCGGAGAGAATTGAAAGCGCTGCGACGTGAGCGGGATCGTCAATTGAATCCTGAAAAGTATGAGCGTAAGCGAGCTCACAAACGCCAGCGCAAGGCTGAGATCAAGCGGTTTTTCTCCGCAGGAGGCAGCCAAAAGGCGCAGCGCCTGGAGGTACAGCCCAAGGTCGATGAGCTGGATCCGGCCGAGCAGGCTAAGGCCTTTGCCCGTATTGCCAAGGAGGGGACCTCCACCCGCTGGGCAGACCAGCAGGACAGTAGCGGCAGTGACAGTGGTGTAAACCACCCTGCCCGCTTTGTCCCTCTCCAACCGGAGCCGGCATCGCCATCGGTTGTGGAAACCAGCGGTCCTAAGGTGCAAAGGATGCCGGAGAGGGAGATCCCGCTTGGAGAAGCAAAGGCGAAAGAACAGCCTGATAAGGCCAAAGACCCGCCTGCAGAGGCGAGAACACAGCCTAGAAAGGCAAAGGAGGAATCCAAAGGCCCGCAAAGGCCAGTCTCAGGTAATCATCCTGTTGAACTGTCTTTGCTGCGACCTGTTGTGAAGAATACACAGACGCGTAACCGTGCAGAAGTTGGTGATTCTGCTGGTAACGATGAGATTGTGTATCTCGGTTCAGCAGGTGAACCTGCCAGTCCAATTCCCCGGGAAAGACGGGAGACATATGAGATCCTGCAGAGGCAGGAAGCTGCTTTGCAGAAAGCAAAGGCGGATGCAGAGAAAGCTGCACAGCTTCGTTCCTTGATGGGGGATGAAGACTATGCAGCATATCTGGAGCTGCAAGAAGCAAAGCAGATTTCTCATGGACGGCAGGAAATTGCCTACAAACCGGCGAAACCGGGGCCTGGATACCAGGAACGCCGCGCCCAGCAAATGGCGGCTGATCAAAGTGGACGTGCCAAGGTGCCGCACGAGGCTGCAAAGCCCACCCCAGTGATGCGTGTTCCTGTCATACAGGACACGAGGGGCTTTTGGGATACGCTGGGCGCCTTTCATGACCCTCATGGAGGGGTATACTTTAAGGGGTATTATCATCCCCGTGGAGGACATGCCCCATACAGGGCCCAAGTCCCAAGGGACGCCCTCCAACGTATACCCGGGAAGCTGCGTGGCCTCTTTGATGCGCAGCAGACGGCACTGGGGATATATGTGCCAGAGGGTCAGGAAGCAGCCATGGAATGGCAGGCCATCCAGAGAACTGGCCGAAAAGTCCCTGAAGAGGGATCGGTGCAAATGCCCCCGGGACCATCGATGCAGGCAGGTCCCTCCACACCGGCTCGTCCAGTGGCTCAGCCAGAAATGGCGCCAAGACAGCCGGTGCGGCCTTATACAATGGGGCAGGCTGGACAGCGGACATCACAGCCTCCTGTGCAAACGACGCAGCAAAAGATTCAAAGGCTGCAGGAGATGTCTCCATTTGCGCCGGAGTCAGCTGTGTATCCGCCAGTTCGGTACTATCAGCCAGGGATGGCGGCACAGCCCGGGAGGGCATACCAACCCGGAAGGGTACCACAGGCGGAGATCGCCCCAAGACAAGAGGAGTACCCAACACCCGCTTACAGTGGATCATCCCATCCATCCGGATCGGGAGGTTACGAGAGGGTGTACGAGTACCCGCCCGGTCATTTCCAGACCCAGGAACCTCCACATGAGGAATTTCTGTTTGGGCTGGAGGTTGATCAGGCTGTTGAGCCACATCGGGCGGAAATGGGGCCTCCACCGCCTCCGGAGGGGTACAATCCCCAAGGGCCGGGTTATACCGGTCAAGCCTATTTGGCAGCGGCGCAGGAGATTCCATATGCGCCAGTTTATTACGAACCCGGAAGGGAAGCTCAGGTGAGCATGAACATGCCTAAGATGAACAGTCAGGGCATGAAACCCCCAAAATGGAATGAAGATAAACAGGCCTTAACCAAGTGGTTACAAGAAATCATCATGTATTTCAAAACCACTATGGCACCCCGGACACAATGGGGATGGATAGCACTGAATACTCTTGAAGAGTCAGTGAAACATGGCCTACTAGCCCAGTTGGGACACATATGGGGGATAACAATTGATGCAGAAGTGCTCTCACAGCCAGACTTTCAACTGTCATGGGAACAGTTTAAGTATGGCATGGAGACACTTTATGATCATAAATGTTCCGACTTCGAAATTCGGTCGGAAATAGCAGCCTTTACAAGGGCAGGGACCTCGGGTCCCGATACAATCAAATACATGCAGCTCTTGGAACAAATGTTTCTCAAGTGTGAGAACGAACTTGATGATTTTTCCAAGTTGCATGCATTGTATACTGGACTCCGTCCAGATATTAAGAGGAAATGCCTCTTAAATAAAGATGATGAGCAATGGACCACTTATGCCAGCCTGAGGGCGCATTTATATAAAGTGGGACCAACATATGACCAAGAATACAAGGCATATGGCTCTCGTCGAAATGAAAGCCGGGATGGCAAACCGCACACGAGTAATCGTCTTGCTCCTAACAGAGTTATTCAAAAATACCACGCATTGAAAGTGGATCGTCGTGGCAAACCAGTTTTGAATAACAGACCGAGAGGTCAAGGAGGGACGACTTACAAAAGTTCTCGTGTTGCTATGAAAATGCAGCCGC